GGTCTCTTCCTGGCAGGGAGGAGGAATTGATTCTCTTTCCTCACGGAGCTCAGTCTAGTGAGGGAAAACCCAAGTAAAGGATACAAACAAAAGCTCAGGTCCTAGAAGAAACAAGCTAAAAATTGCTATGGGAATGCGAGCTGAAGAGCAGTTTCTGGGTTAGGCTTGGCTGGGGGAGCAGGAGTTCGCCAGGCGACTGAGGCCAGGAGCCGCACGGGGCGGGGCAAACCCGTGTGTTCAGGGACGTGGGTGGGCAGGAACAATGACCCACGGGTCCCCTTCCTGTGGCACTGGCCGTTTCTGTGAGGGAACGCGCGTTCTCCTAGGGGTTTTCCTTTCCTTTTGTCCACCTCTTCCTTTCCCCCAGCCTCAGGTAGGGCACTTGGGCCCCAGGAGCGGGGAAAGGAGGGTGGTTCAAGATGAGTTGGGGGTGTTGTTCTGTGGCCTTGCTCAGGCTGCAGCCCTTCCTCCCTTCCTCCTTCCCTCCCTCCATTTTATTTTCTTAAGCTTTGGGGAGTCATGAGGACTTTAAGCTGCCGGGATGGGCGCAGAGGCTGGGAAGGTTTTCCGTTGGATTTCTCGGCCACAGGTCCCTGGCCTGGAGCAGGCGCATCCAGCCGGTAACGCTGCGGTGATGCAGCAGGGTTTCAGGAAGCCGTCCGGGAACGGGCTCCCAGGTCGCCGGACGTTGGGACCCGCATCAGCCGTCTGTGCCCGTCGGTCGGCTCCCCGGCGTTCTAACTACTTCCTTCCCTGGGTCCCCCTCCCAGGGTCCCCGCCCACCCTCTCAAGCGGGGGAAGAACATTCCCTTTCTGCAGCCGCCGCCTGGTAGCTGGGATCGGGCCGCTCTTCCTAGCAGCAGGCCTTTGGCAGAGCTCGTGAAGCTGCTGACACAGAAGCTTGTGGGACTCGCACGCAATCGTGAAATGCAGACGCCACTGTCTTTCTCTGAAGGGCACCAAGCAGTGAAATAAACAAAGATCCCCTCTCCCAGCTGGGTTACAGGTAGCTCTGGGCCTGTAAACGGGACGCTAAGGAACTTGAAGTGTCCCTCTTGGAGGGCCACGGATCCATAGCGTCCAAGGATCACCCGGGTCTGAGCAGCCGCTAGAAATACGACGCCACCTAACTGCATAATTTTGACTTTTTTAATAGCCACATTTAAAAAAGTAAAAAGAAACCGATGAGGTTAATGTTACCAGTATGATTAATTAACCCTACTGTATCTCAAATGGGATCGTTTTTCATTTCACATGCAATCAGGATAGAAAAATTATTCATAATAGTAAAAATTTCACTTTTTGTCCAAATAAAGCCATCAAAATCCAGTGTGGATTTTACTCCTAAGGGACGTGTATGAATTCAGGTAATTACTGTATTGGACAAATTGAGCTTATAGATGGAGAAACTGCGGCTGCTGTCAGGTGGAGGGGTGTGGCAGGGGCGGGGTCAGGAAGCCAGGAGGTGGGGCCTCCCCAGGCTCTGCTCCTGAATGGGCCTGGGACAGGACCAGCCCCTCCTGGGAGCAGCTGAGCCAGAAGCCAAGGCCGCAGGCAGCTGCCTCTCACCCGCTTCCTGGCCTCTCCCCAGGTCAGGGCCCCGCCCCTGGAGGAGGATTTGTCCCCGGGGCCTTTTCTGTTGGGAAACGGGAATGGTGGCTTTGTCTCTGCGGGAGAGCTTGCTTTTTGTAGCTGTCTCCCCAGCCAGCCAGGCATCAATAAAGATAGTTCACTGGCTTAATCGAGGAGTAATTGGCTTAATTGATAACAGAGGGGTTGCTTGTCAGCAGCAGCCCACTTTGCACCGTCCTGGTCCCACAGGCTGCCGGCTTCCGCGAGAGCCTCCAGGAGAGAGTGAAAACGAGGTCCCCTATTAACTCTTCGCCGAGCCTTTGGCACGCGCTCGCAGGCCGACCTGGCGCCGACCAAGCGCTGTGTGGGGCTGTGTTTGGCATTCACGGGCCCCACTTCATGCTCTGTGGAAGTCACGGGGAAGGCCCGCTTGAGAGCTGTCCTGGTGGACAAGTTTAACGCCAGGGGAGCAGCGGAGAGCCCCTCCCGGGAGCCCCTGGGTGGCTCCCACGCTGCCTGAGGACCCAGGCCCTGGGCAGGCCCCAGGAGGCCACAGCCTGCCTGCCACAAAGAAGCATGTGCCCCAAATGGCCGCAGTTCTCCGTCCCTGAGACCAAGGTGATGTTGTCCCCTCCCAGCCTGCCCGCCTGTGACCACCCCAGGGCCTGGAATCTGCCATTGCTCCCTAGAGGTGGCCAGTGGCGGTCAAGCCTTTAAAGTCCTCCTCATCCAGTTCTGATCCCACTGGCCGGCCTGCTCGGCGGGCCCCTCCAGGCCCCCGTCGGGATGAATGGTTCCTCCTTGGAGCAGCCTCCTTGATGTCCCTTTCTGCCCCGCCAACCCGTCCTGCCCCTAAGCAGCGCAGAACCATGAGGACCAGGGCCCGCGTCCCCGTCCCTGGGTCCTTGGAGGCTCCGGACAGGAACCAGCTGACACGGCCCCCAGGACACGCTGGGACGACGCTGGCGCTCCCGGGCTCAGGCTTTCGGGGACAGAGCCCCAGCGGGTGGACATGCGTGCACAAGCGTCCCCCCACGGAAAAGTGATGCAGGACATGCTGCGGGGGGTGATGAGGCACGTGGGGTTTCCAGGCGGCGTGTTCCCAGGTTCTTCCAGGAAAGGCTGAACCACCTGCCTGGACTCTGCTGTCTTTCTTGGTTGCGTTCCCCTTGTGATGAGAGGCTCCCCCACCTCAAATAGGGATACGGTAATCTTCCCCTGGGACCTCCAGGCCCAGGGGCTGTACTCCCCGACGGGGCCGGGGCCTGAGGAAGGCGGTTGACCTGCAGGGAGGCCCTCTCACGCCGCCGCCGCTCCCTGGGAACACGCGTCCTTCCTTCTCCATTGTGGAGAAATATACACCACATAAAAGTCGCCCGTTTTAGGTGTGTGTTCTGTAGCATTAAGCACAGTCACGCCATTGTGCCGCCAACCTCCGGAAGAACCCTTCCATCTAAGGCGGCTCGTGCCCTCGGGGAGGCCCGACGCGGATCGGCCCCCAGCTCCGGATTTCCCCCTGGTGCTCCAGGTTGGCTTCGACCTCCTTGCAGCTGTCTTGAACTTTCTGTAGTAGATTTAGTGTCCCTGGTTGTGTGCTACGGCCCTTTCGTTCAGCCCGCTGGGCGTGGTCGATACCAGACGGGGGGCGGTGGGCGGTGGGCGCCCTGGCCCTCCAGAGCGGTGGGGTCTCTGTGTGGGAGACTAGAAAATCAGCGATGTAGTCCCGTACCTTCATCCTCAAAAACGTGGGCTTCCATCCACCCTGATTTTACTGCTTCAACATTCAAGGCAGTGGCCGGAAAACATGCTTTTCCGTCCATCATTTCTTGATCGTTTTTCTCCAAAATAAAGTCTATCCCTTTTGTTTGCTGGATGCATCCCTCGGTGTCCCCAGCCTTTTCCTCCTATGGCTGGATGTGCCGCCCGGCCGCCCTGCCCCGTCCAGGGGTCAGGGTCGGTGGCAGAGGCGGCGGTCGAGCCCCAGGTGGGCTGGTGTGCACATCCCAGCTCCAGGAGCTGCGGGGCCCTGGGTGGGTTCCCAGACACGCGTGGCCCTCAGTGTCGCCACGTGTAACATGGCCGCCCAGGGCCCCGCACACACCAGTGCCCGGTGAGCAGTGGCCACGGTTGGTGCTGTTGCTGTGGCTCATGTGCTGCTGAGAGGGACCAGCGCGAAGGGCTCACTCGGGTGCTCGGCCTGCTCAGGGCTCTGACGCAGGTCCTGCCCGGTGTTCTGTCTCCCGAATCAGCCGGGGTGGGAGTGGATACGTTCATGTCAAATATTTGTTCTTATTAAATATTTGCTCAGAGTTCTTTCAAGGTTTGCCGAGATGGTCAACACCGGATTATATCCGTTCTCTGTGACTATACCTTACCGTTTTTTGGCTACAAAAATAGTATCAGCTGATAGGGTGGCCGGCTTTTTGGGGAAGACCCCCAATGCAGTGGTGTTAGGTGTTGTTGCGGGGGCACAGGGGTGGTTCAGTTTCTCCAGAGAAAGACCCCCGCAGTTTTGTGGGCTGAGGTGGGCCGGCCCCATGCTAAAGAGGGCGGCGGGGGCAGGCTGGGAGCTCTCGTTGGTGTCCAGGCTACCCCTTAACTTTGCGTCGGCTCTTCACCCCGCTTTTTTGGGCCTGTCATTCCCCTGTTCGGCCCTCCCTTTGGTGTGGGGGTGTAGTCGCCAGGCTGTGTCGTTGAGGGGCTGCTAACCGTTGGCGCACAGCCCCAAGCCGCCCCGCTCCTCACAGTCCCCGGTGGTTCCCGATCGGGCTCCGGGGCGACGTGATCGGGGGCGAGGGGAGCGCTGCCCCGCCCAGTCACCCAGGGGCTGAGGGGCCTCCGTGCCATCAGCTCCACCGCCCGCATCCGGTCGTAGCCGGGGGCCCGGGAAAGGACAGGCGGCTCCTGGAGGCAGTGATGGACGCCTCTCCGGTGCACCTAGAACGGCGCTCATTGTTATGCGCCCTCCGTAGGAGGGCTGAGTAGGTGGTGTGGTCCGAGGAGGAGGCCTGGCTAGAAAGGCGATGGTTGCGCTCGCTGGCGCCCCCAAGTCCTCCCCCGGGCGCCCTGCGTCCGGCGTGCGGGCAGCAGAGCTGCTGGGGGCCCCGCCTGGAAGCGGTGGAATCACTCCCTCCACGTTCCGTCTGCTGGAACACGGTCCGTGCCCACGGGGTTGCAAGGGGCTTGGGGCAGTGCGGTCCGGCCGTGTGCCGGGGGAGGAAAGGACCCAGGGCTGGTAGGCGATGCCCTGCTTCCCATGGGGTCCTGCAGGGGCTGAGGCAGCCGTGCCCGGGGTGGATGGCCCTTCGGGGGCCCCTCCAGCACTGGGCACAGGACGCACAAGGACCATCCCTCAGTTGTGCAGGGGCCGCCGACGGCGGGGTGCCAGGCCCTGCCGCCAGCGTCCCCAGCCAGGCTGTGTCTTGCAGGTGTCGCGCGCGCCATGGGCAAGCAGAACAGCAAGCTGCGGCCCGAGGTGCTGCAGGACCTGCGGGAGAACACGGAGTTCACGGACCACGAGCTGCAGGAGTGGTACAAGGGCTTCCTCAAGGACTGCCCCACCGGCCACCTGACCGTGGACGAGTTCAAGAAGATCTACGCCAACTTCTTCCCCTACGGCGACGCCTCTAAGTTCGCCGAGCACGTCTTCCGCACCTTCGACACCAACGGCGATGGCACCATCGACTTCCGGGAGTTCATCATCGCGCTGAGTGTCACCTCGCGGGGCAAGCTGGAGCAGAAGCTCAAGTGGGCCTTCAGCATGTATGACCTGGACGGCAACGGCTACATCAGCCGCAGCGAGATGCTGGAGATCGTGCAGGTAGGGCTCCGGGCAGGGGTGGCCGGGCTGCGGGGCGCCCCCGGAGTCAGGGCTCCGTGTCCCCAGGGCGCCCGGTCGTCTTGGTCCAGGTTGCCGCCTGCCCCTCCCCCCGGCCCCTTCTGAAAGGAGCCGCTGTCACCTTGCCAGCAGTGTGGATAAGAGCCACTCACCAGCCATCAGGCCTGACTTAAACTCATTGACCAGCTTTGGTCTTCATGGCTCCACAGGGGGTCATTTTCCGAGTTTCACAAACTCTGAGGCTCAGAGAGATTTCCTGAGAATTAGCAGAGCTGAGAATTCCAGTAATGGAGGAGGGGACCCTTGACACCTGCCCGGGCCTGTGTGAGGCCCCAGATCTGAGAGTGCCACAAACAGCTCGCACTGTCCCCAGGCACGTGCAGCTGTAAAGTAACATGTGTGGTCACAGAGTGAGCTCAGGCCCTCGTGGGAGTCCTCTCTCTCTGCCTTCGTGCCTGTCAGCGGCTCTGGCAGGTGAGCTGTTTTCCAGAAGGAAACCCAGTTTTGCTGTCTAGGTGTGTGATGGCCGGCGGAGAGCCACCGAGTTCACTCCCTGGCGTCCCCTCTGTGCCCTGTCCCTTGTGCGGTTCGGGCCCGAAGTCCTCAGAAGGGGTGTTCTTTACCTGCAAGAGGCCCCAGGGCTGAGTGTGAGCAAAGGGGTCAGACCCGTGAGCTCCTAGGCAGCAGCATGCGGCCCGAGGAGTGACCGGCCCAGCTCCCAAGGTGGCTTTCCCACGGTGAGACCGAACCACACGGGTTTGGGGAACTCCGCGGCCAGAGTCACTCCCGGTGGCTGTGCTGTTGGTGGAAGTTGGAATTCCCCTTCCCAGGAGTCACTTCTCGGAGGCTACGTGCCAGCCTGACCTTTCTGCAGACAAGCCTGCCTGTTGCGGGCTCGGCACACTGACCTGGCCAAGCCGCAGAGACCCTGGCCGGGTCGTTCGGGACAGTGAGGGGCGGCCATCCCTGTGCAAAGGGGGTCGGGCTGCTGCGCCCCGTAGCCAAGCGCCCGCGCCCTGAGAACCTCCCCCGGCTCCTCCGGGCGGCGCCTCGCCGGCCGGCTGGGACACCCCACACCCACGCCTTTCTCTGTCTAACGCGCCTCCCGGCCCACCTGAGGCTTCGGCGGGTCTTGCTGGGCTTGGCGCCGGCGCCAGTGCTGGCCCAGCCTGGCAGGATGGTCTGGCCCAGAAAGATGCAGCCCGTGCAGACGGGCCCCGGAGCCCCTGCTGCCCGAGCCGGGGGCTCATGGGAGACAGTGAGGGGGGAAAGGACTGTAGACTCCAGAAACCTTCCGCAAGGTCATCCTGCTCGGCGTGTGTGTGTTTGTTTTTTATTTAATGCTCTGCTTTCAAGGTGGGAGAACTCCCCGACTCCCTCCCGCTGTTGCAGGAGTGGGAGCGCCAGGTGAGCCTGCCCCACCCTCCCCCGGCTCACACGTCCTGCCCCCACTGTGTGGGGGCGGGGGCACCGCCGGGCCAGGACCCTCTTGCAAGCCCCCGGTGGCAGTGCCTGTAGGCAAATGGCTCTTCGTCTTCCTGGGGAGCCCTGTGCTGGGAGGGCCTGCCCCGCCCGGGCTGCGTATACGGTTCTCCCTGCGGGTTGAAGGCCTGAGTCTTTCTGACGATCACAGAGTGAAGTGCTCGCCACTGAGTGAGCAGTGCCATGCGTTGTACAAGGACAGGCTGTGGCACCACCACCCTCGGAGAGTCACCCAGCGCCCCCCTCCCCCCACAGGCTCCCTCAGGCGCCTTCGTGGCAGGTCCCGCCGCCCACCCCCCCCCCCACCGGCAGCCCCTGTCTCCCGACTGTTGCAATGGACTCGTTTTGCCAGCTCTTGAACTTCCCATACAGGCGTCCGGCTTCTCTGCGTGACATCCCGCCTGCGACGTTCGCCCGAGCTGCCCGGAGCAGCAGGGGACGTTCCTCTCGCTGGGGCCAGGTCCTGAAGGGCCGTGAGCATCCCGCCCTCTCTGTGCCGTGACGTGGGCTGGATAGGAGCTCACACCTGCCCCTTACACCCAGGAACGTTCTTGAATTTCTGAGCGCATGCTTCCCCGCGCCCCTCTGCAGGCTATTTACAAAATGGTGTCGTCTGTGATGAAGATGCCGGAGGATGAGTCCACCCCGGAGAAGAGGACAGACAAGATCTTCCGGCAGATGGACACCAACAATGATGGTAGGGTGCTGGGTCCCCGTGTGTCTGTGCCGCACTGCGGGGAGCAAAGATGCGTTTGGGACAGTGGCCTCCCCGTCTGCAGCTTCCCAGGCCCTCCCCCAGCCCACCCGGCCCTCCGCTGTGTTGATGGGAGAGCCGGGAGTCAGGCTCAGGGAGACCTGGGGGTGCGTCCTGGCTCTGTCTCCGTGCGTGGGGCTGCGCCCCTGAGCCACGGCCCCCCAGCTTCTAAGCCGGGCACCGGCAGCCCTGTGGGCGTGGCGCCGGGCCCTGGAGGAGGGGCAGTGCCTTCAGAAGCTCCACCACCTGAGGCTTTGGGGAGTGGCAGCAGCTACAAGTTCCACCAGCTGGAGGAGAGAAACAGGCCAAGAGCCCTTCTGCATCAGCGAAGGATCCCAGAACTTCCCTCCGTGAGGGGCGGGGGGTGGCTGTCCCCTCCCCTCCCAGGCCACCCCTTCGCCTGGGCACTGTTGTTTAGTCCACGGGCCCGCTGGCCCGCCCCCTGCTGGCAGCCCACAGGAGGGGCGCCCCTCTCCCAGGCGCTGCGGGGCTCTGCGGCCTGCCCCCGGCTCCTGGCAGAAGCCCACTGGCTGAGCTTGTGCTCTGGCCTGGGCCCAGGCTGGACCCTCCAACGCTGCCGCCCAGGGACTCCCCCCAGCGGCCCTCTGGGGCCACGTGCTCATGGTCGCGCTGGAGTCCCGGAGTCCGGGAGGTGGGGGGAGGTCGGGAGCTGGCCACTCTCCACTGTGCGCCAGCCACAGGACACAGCCCTGCGCCTCAGGAGAGGGGCTGCTGGGGAAGGGAGCACGTGGGTGTCTCCCGCACAGCTTCCTCGGGAACTCGAGTTTCTGCAGCGCCTTAGTTTTAAAATCTGCCCTCCTGTCTCCTGATCCTTGAAGTGACGGGGTCTGTGGGGCAGTCTCTCTCGTCCCCCCGCCCCGAGGGGCAGGTGGTGCAGAAGCAGAGAGTGACCCCCCCCCCCGCGGGGCCCTGCCGCCACACGTGGGCAGTCACCCAGGGGCCCTGGGCGGCCTCGGGCCCATCAGCCCTGGACTGGTTGTGGGTTAGCAGCTGACGCCATGTGCTTTCTGGGCGAGTCGCGTCTGTCTTAGGTAAGGCGCGGCGTTTCCGAAGGGCTCAAATTGTCCTCCTGCCACAGAGTGCCGTCATGCGGGGCGGGTTCTGAAGTGCCCTGACACTCTGCAGCGAGCCGTGGAAACCGAAAGGGTTTTTCCAGAAAAGCCCGTGAAGCAAGGCGCCTGGACAGCGCCCCGCCTCGTGGAGGCTCAGGCCTGGGACGGGAGCGGGCGGTCCTGGTACCGGGCGGGTCCAGGCCCTGGGAGGGAGGGAGCAGCGGGCGCTGGCTAACCCCCAGTCCTGTCCTCCGCCCACAGGCAAGCTGTCCCTGGAAGAATTCATTAAAGGTGCCAAGAGCGACCCCTCCATCGTCCGGTTGCTCCAGTGCGACCCCAGCAGCGCAAGTCAGTTCTGAGGGGCCCGGCGTCTGGACGGTGACAGAGAAACACAGGCTTGTCTCGCCATTTAAGCTTTGCTTGCAAAAGTGGATGCCTCCTCAACCTTCCCTGCCCTCCCGGCCCGCCAGGTGACGCGCGGCACCTGCCCGGCCCAGCGGCTGCGCCTCCCCCTCCGCCTGCCCCCCGACCCCGTCTCGTCCCATCCAGGGTGACTTGCGGGGATGCCTACCCACAGGACTCAGTGCTCTCGCTTCCAGACGCCTCCCCGCCTGCAGGGGGCCCAGAGGACACCTCCCAGGACGCTGTGGGACTTTCTAAGATGGCGCCAAGGCCGGCTAATTTATTCTGTGACTGCAGGTGCCTCCGTGGGAAAGGTGAGGACAAGGACGGAGGGAGAGTAGACAGGAGGCCCTTCCTGTGCATGGCACCACCTAGCTCGTCCGTTTTCTCTGACCAAAGCCGCTCGCACGTCTTTCTACTGTGGCCTCCTTTCTCTGGATATATAAATTATACGTATGGTGATGTGAAGTGTCACGTGTAGGTCCCGTATTTAATGCCTCGATCGCCTCTGAAGCGTGGTTCCCTTGTGGCCTGTGACCCCTCCGAGCCTGGTTCTTTTGTGGTATTTATGCCCTCAGTCTGCCCCTTGCAAAAGGAAGTGCATGCTGCCCGTTGCCGTGGAGACTCTCCCGTCCACGCGGTGAATGCGGCGTCTGTGTAAGGGCTGTCCTGTTGATCGGTCCAGCATTTCCTGTATTAAAATGATCCAATAAACAGAATTCTCTGAGTCGTGTGTTGACCCGTGAGAGCCCCTTCCTGCCGCCCGTGGCCCTGGCTGCTCCCGGTAAAGGTGGGTCTAGCGGGTCCAGCCGCTGTTTGTAAACTCGGCCCCTCCTGCCTCCCTGTAGTCATCGCTGCGTCTACAAATGTTGTGCAGCCTGTTCCTCAGCGTCTGCCTAATGCCAAGAAATATTGGAGGAAATAAAAGATGACTGTCCTTGGCAGGTTTGACTGTGACACTTCTGCCTCCCTCCCTGGGGATTAATCGGCAAGTTAGCAGGACCGCACATACCGCCAGTGAGGACAGAGGGGGGCAAACCACCAAGATAACTTCTGGCCCCAGCAGCAGAAAACCCAATGGAAGTTGCTTCAGTCATAGAGATGTTTGTCCAAAGCAGCCCATTGCAGGCCTGGCTGATTCAGCAACTCGGGGACCCTCACCACCCTGCCCTCCAGGCTCACAGCTTCTGTCCCCACAGTTTTCTCTGCGTTCCCATAGGGCTATCACTGTTCTGGGCGGTACTGTTGACATAGGAGCCTTCCCCAGGCAGGAAGAGAAGCTGCCCTATCTCCTGTTTTTCCTTAAGGAGAACTTTCTAGACTTTTCCCTCCCCAGCAGTCTCACTTCTCATTGGCCAAAACCTGGGCTAAGCCTTGGCCAGAAGTGTGACGTGACCGTGACAGGCCAGTCAAGATGCACCCTTGGCCGAGGACGGCCCGCCCCCCGCATGGGGCGTGGCGCTGGCGAAGGTGAACAGGACAGGGTTCTCTTTCCCAGGTGGGCACCAACAGCGGCTGCCCCACCTGCCCCGGGCCCTCGCGGAGCTTCAGCTGCAGAAGGGGCAGAACCAGAGGCAGGTGAGCACGGTAGGGGCGGGGCCTGGAGCCGGACAGAGGTAGCTGTCTGAGGTAGTGGCTGTCTTGTTGATTTTAGTAATCTTACTACCTTCTAAGGTGACATGCCTCTGAATAGAAGCGATGAGCCCACCTGCAAGGTCCCCCGAGCCGGGGGCGCCCCCAGGAGCTGGTCGGTGGCGAAGCTCTGATGACGTTACTGCAGCCACAGCCTGATGAACAAATAGCACCACTGGGCGGGGGGATGGGGAAGCCAGGTGGCCTGGGGGTGGGTGCAGTTTGCTCCCAAGAGGCAAGAGGGGCCTTTGACAGCCCTGCCTGGAGACGGATAGCGCCCTCCCACGGAAGGGCTTGCGTTTTACCAAAAGAACTGGCCAGGGCTAACGGGCGTTGCTGCACGGGGACGTTGCCCAGCGGAGCGGACAAGAGTGGCCCTGTGTGAGGCTCTCCAGGGAAGCAACCAGTAGGGTGCCAGTCTGGCGTGGGGCGTTGGAGACACAGCGGTGAAGCAGCGCTGTGAGCCCAGCTCGGACAGCGGGGTGTTGATGGAGCGAACCTTCCTGGAGAGTAGGTCTGGGGCGTGGCCACGCAGGGCACTGCCAGGGACCGGAGGAGCCAGGTGCTGAGTGCAGGGGCCTGGGCGAGGAGCGGGGGCGAGGGCAGAGTGGGGCTCTGCTCTTTGTCTCCTGGGAGCTCTTTCCAGCAGCTTGGGGGACTGAGCTGGGCGCGGGCCTCCCTGGGCGCAGACCTGAGAGGCGGCCGTCTCCAAGGGCCTGCCAGGCCGCCTGTCCTGCACCCTGAAAGGGCACGCTGAGCCCTCCCTGGCCTTGGCCGGAGGAGCCGGGAGTGCGCGCGGCTCGCGCGCCCACTCCGTGCACACGCGCGTGCCCTCGCTGCCTGTCGCGCACAGTCCCCGGCACTGCTGTCCTGCGGGCGCCGGTTACGGTTTACAAGGGCCTTCGTAGTGCACGTGCGCCACCTGCAGGCGGGGAGGGGCAGGGACCTGCCCGCAGACGCCTCTCCAGCTGCAGCCAGGCCGCTGGGGCTCCTCGGCTCCTCGGCCTGGACATCAGGGGCAGTCAGAACCTGCGAGACCCTCTGACCCCCACCCCCGACAGCACCCCCTTCACTGGGGGGCGGGGAGGCGTGTTGTGTGTCTGTGTGTGTCTGCAGCATCGCGAGTCCGTGTTTGAGGACTACTGGTGGGGTGCCAGTCTGGCTGAGTCTGCAGATGCGGCGGCCGGGCAGGTCCAGCTCGAAGCGTGTCTGTCCTGTGTGGGGTTTCACAGATGCACATCCCGGCACATGCTGTGCAGAGACCTGGTGCCGAGGGCCCAGAGCATCTGGCCCAGGTCTGTCGGCAGGGGGATGGCTCTCGGGGACGTGTGTGACGCTGTGCTGTGTGGCAACCCTCGAGGCTCATTCCACGTGGGAGGCGTGGGAGACCCCAACCCACCTGCCCCGGTGGGTGGTGGGTCCAGCTCCCTCTGTGGGGCCCCTGCGCTGTCCTGGCTCCTATGGGCTGGCAGCGGCCTCCTTGAACCTCACCTCATCCACATTCCAGGCCATTCCTTTTTAAAAATTATTTTATTATTGAATTTAATAGGATGACATTGGTTAATAAAATTATACAGGTGTCAGGTATACAATTCTATAACCCATCACCTGTCTGTTGTATTGGGGTTCACCACCCCAAGTCACCCTCCTTCCATCACCATTTATCCCTCTTTTACCCTCTCCTGCCTCCTCCCACCCCTTTCACATGCCAGTCCACGCCTAAGACCCCCCCGCAAATGTCCCTCCCTCGGGACGCTGTCCCCACTCCCCCTGCATACCCCCTGCACTCCCCAAGCCCCCCCGCCTGGTGCTACTCTGCTCAGAACTGGCCTTTGCCCCCAGAGACAGTGCCAGGCTCGGCTGAGAACGGGCTGCTCAGCGAGGAGGTAGCCTGCGGTGCACCACACGGGACCTGGCGCACAAGTCCCAGCTTGCCCACGTGACCCTGGACGAGGCCCTCCAGGTCCCAACCAGTAAGACAGGACTCAGAGAGCCAGGCTCACTGACCTTGGCCTTTCGTGTCAGCACGCAGAGGGGAGATGCAGGGCCTCGGGGTGTGCGCGGCCCCTCCACGGGCCAGATCTGCCTGCCTCTGGCTCAGAGCAAACGCTGGGAGCGGCCCCTGGGCCCTTAGATGAAGGGCCAGAGCCGGGGCTGGGACCAGGCGCCCCGTCGGGGCAGTGCCAGGGTGGGAAGATCCCAGACCGAGCCGTGCAGAGGAGGGGAGCAAGCAGCACTGGAACCAGCGGGTGGAAGCAAAGACCTGGACGCTGGCTTCAGGGCCAGCTCGGGGTGGGGGCTGGGGGGTGGGGGGTGGGCGAGGGCAGCACCTCTGCTCCCCCAGCCACACCTGCTGCACAGCCAGGGCGGGCGGGCGGGCGGGCTGTGAGCAGAGCCCCTGGCTGCAGATGGGACCCAGGGGGCCCCTGAGCGGGTGACTGCGGGGGGCATTACCCACTCCCGACAGCAGGGGGAAGCAAGGAGACAGGCTGCAGAGACCCACAGGCTGCCCCCTGGGCCTGGGGCAGGAGCGGCAGGGCTGAGCTGGCGATAGGCTGCCCCTGCGGGGGCTCAGGTGGGTTTCAGGTGGAGCAGCCTGGTGCGGGAACGAGGCTGCCGGGAGCCCCACCTCAAAGCCCCGGGTTCCCTGGTGTGGCAGGCCCGGGATCTCCCTGCGTCAGGCCACACTCTCGTCCCCACATCCCTCCTGTCCCAGTGGGCTCTGTCGGCCTTGGCGGAGTGACCGAGCGACCTGACAACTTGCTCAGGGTCCCTGGACCCTGCAGAGGGGCCTCAAGCACGGGGTGCTGCTGCCCCCTGGTGGCCATGGCCGGGAGGGCCTTCCCGGGCTTGGCTGGCTGGACCCCTCTCCTCTCCGGGGGCTGGTTTCAGAGCTGCTTGGGCCTCAGTTACATAGGAGCTGTCTGTCCCGCCCCACCTGACAGATGGGGAGACCGAGGCCTTCAGGAGCACCTTATTTTTCCTGAGCCACCCAGACTCTGGAGTCAGAGCTGGGTTTCTGGTACCCAGGACTTGGAGGCCTTGTCAATAGGGCGCCCGTTGAAGTTCAGTTTCAGATAAACAAGTCATCTTTCCATATCCCCGTGCCTCATGCAGCAGTTTATGTCCGACTGGCTGCACCTGGTAGCCCTGCCTGTTAAGCCACGGCGCAGGGTCTGCACAGCCTCGGGGCGGGCCAGGAGCGAGAGGGGCAGCGCCCAGGCCGCCCCGGGCTCTGGGCACGCGGCCCCCTGGTGGAGCCGCCCCTCGTGCCCGAAGACCCGCAGACCTGGCACCGCGGTCCGGTGCAGCCCCCTGAGCTCGGCCCGCCGGGAGGCCCCCAGACCCCCTGCTCAGCCCTCAGCTCCAGGACCACCGCTGAGGGTTGGGAGGGTTGGGACGCAGGTGCCACCCCAGCAACCCCTGCGGCCAGTGCACAGACTGTCCCGTCGTGACCTGGCCTCACTGTGTCTCTGAGGCCGTCCCTGAGCATCTCACACAGAACCGGAGGGGAGCTGCTGTCGAGGGGGTGGCTGGGCGGCGGGCCAGCTGGTGGGGGTTCAGGAGGCCCCCCACCGCCTGCCCCCTGCGGAGGGGCAGGTGCAGCCACACAGCATCCCAGCTGCCCCCACTACCAATGGCTGCAGTTCCTGTCCCCAACTAAGAAATGAGCGAGAACTCAAGGACCTAAGATCACCAGGCCCTTCACAGCCCCGGAATGGGAGTCCCCCGGCCCCGCCGGAGGCAACAGCAGGGCCCACTGGCCACCAGAGGCGAAAGGGCTGGCGTGTGGGGCCGCGGGCAGGAGGCACGTGCCGGTGAGCGCCTGTCTGCAGGCAGGACCCGCCCCTCCGTGAGGCGGTGCACAGGGCGGCCCCTGCGTCCCCGAACCAAAAACTGAGACGCAGGTTTAACAAAAAGGTATAAAGATTTTTTTATTTGTGAATTTACTTATTTGAGATGTCCTAAAGAGGTTGGAGGATATGTTCATAAATCAGTTTTATTACAAAAATAAAATTTTATGAAATCAGACACGTGTGTGCCGCCTGTTGTCCCATGGCCGTTGCGGTGCTGGGGTCTCGGGGGT